AGGATATGTAGCAGACACTATTTTCATAACAGGTACTTGAGAAAAAGGATTTTAATATTATTCATATGTACCTACCTACTCTAGAACTGATGAATTTAGTATTTTATGCTATTGAAAATAACATATATCATTTTTCTTTTTGATGAGAGAAGCCAATACTCATTACCTTTGATGGCGCTACATGGTTTGGAAACATCATGTTTTTAGTAAACACATAATTTATTTACCTTGTAGGAGAACCTAGTGCCTGAAAGATGAAAATCATCCAGCTTGGGCAGTATAATATGGATCATCAATCTCTAGCCCATTCAAAACACAAGACTGATGTGGATCAAAAACTGAGAGCAGAGAAAAGGTTTGAATCAGAAATCCAGTAATAAAGCATCTGAGCCAAGAGACCTGGTATGTTCCCAAGAAAACATCTGATTACCTACTTCACTTTAATCATGAAGCCTTGCTTTATTAGTAAACTAGGTATATTGATATGTAACATTTTATATTCATTTTAGTGTAATGAAGAAAGTGTCTGGGAGATGAAGACATAGTAGAGATAATTGGTGAAAATGAGGTGAAAATCTACAATAGATTCCATATTATACCTACTTTTACAAATTATAGTTTGTTGTGATTTATTTTTATTGATTATAAATGAAAAACAAATATAGTAAGTACTTATATCAAAATTGTAATATTCAATTAATGAAAAATACAGTATTATTCCACAGTAGGTAATGTATATTACAAGAGATCTACATAGGTCATGAAAAAATCTTCATAGAACATTATAGGTATTCAGTGATCTGATTGAAACAAAAATGAACAATGGTAGAATGATATATTATAAATAGGTATATATTTTTTTATAGAACTTGTTAAATCAAAATTCACAAAACCATGCCAACTTTGGTGTACCTAAAATATATACACATTAAAAATGGAACCATTTGATTTCACTTTATCCTGTCACAAATATTCATAAGCACTAGAACACTTATACCCATGGACATATAAAAAAAAACAATAGTTCATTTTTGCATGTACTCTTCTAATAACTCTTTCAACATGAATTCTCAGAGATGCTATTGTTTTGCTATTTTGTACTTCTTGTGGTGTAGATTTCATTTGTGATGATACACTTGGTGGCCTAACTAACTCACAACCTTTCTCAGTGTGGCAAATTAGTTTTAAAGCCTCTATCAGCCAAAATAGATAAATTGGTAGATTTTTTCACAATCTTTGTATCAGATATCCTTCCTCCATACCTATGCTTTAGGTATGAAATTGATGAATCCATTTGGAGTACAAGATAAAAGGAATGTCACTGTATTACATTTTTTATATTCAGACCAGCTATTTGCCTGTATAACTGGATCTGGCTTCTCAATTTCAACTTGAAAACAGTCCATTAGTCTGTACCTAGCTCTAAATGTGATTGGTGTATTTTTTTGAATGTCTATTTTCTGTGTCAGGCTGAAATACAAAATTCTGCAATACATCTGCCATCTTTGGTAAAAATTCTTTGGATATTGCTAATACTAACTCCAAAATCAAAAGCTAATCTTTGGTGTTGATCATTGAATTCTCACTTTTTTCAAAGTAATCAGACACTCTTCACAAGAAATGCTTCCCTCTTCATAAATAAGATGTACTATTATATAAGTCCCTGGATTTCCAAGAAGCAATCTTGATAAAGTTCTATTGCATAAATTTCAGTTTCTTTATAACTGGCTTTAGTATGTCTGTCTCTAATCTCCTCAGCAATCTCATCAAGATCAGTTGAACTGTTTAGCTCATATTTTCTTGTAGGAGATGAGAGAGATTCAGATATTGTATATGATCACACTCTTCTTCCTCAACTTGATATGATTCATTGGTTGGGTACATCATGAGAAGTTTTATTTCCCATATTTAAGGCCGATTCATGCAACAGTCATTATGATTACATTTTCATTACATTATAAATTAAGAATGTTGAGTACTCCTTCGTCATAGAATGCGTTCATGCAACACATTAACACATTTTCATTACATTTTCATCACATTAGTGCACTAAGAAGTTGACCAACTTCTAACTTTTCATTATAATTACATTATAGTTCTAGTGAAAACGACTGATTTGCAAGATCAGATCATTGAATGCTCATTTTTTCCACAAAACTATTTGTGATTCACCTCAGATATTATATTCAAAATGAATCCATATTCTCAAATAACCTGTAAACATTTGTAAAATCCAAGCAGATCACATAACCTCGAATAATTAGTTCATTATGAGCATGCGTTGCATGAACGGGTAGTCCGCGGCTAGTGAAAATGTAATTTTAATGTAGTGAAAATGTAATTATAATGAATGTTGCATGAATCCACCTTTTCACCTCTACTTCTGAATGGCCCTTTTATATTAGTCTGAATAACTATTTCTTCCTCAACCTCAATGATGTCAGGAACTGATATAGATGTATTTGCTACATTTTTGGATGATGAGGGTTCTGCACTTAGTTCTGCATAATCTGATAGCTGTATTTTTCGTTTCTTCCAAACATTTTCCAGCAACTCTGCTTTCCTTTTGTTTCCCTTATCAGTCAGTACACTTCTTTTGTATGTCATATGTGGGTGGCGGTACATTCAAGAACTTGTGTGGCACTGCATGAGGTTTCAGCTTGAGTGTTGTTCCAATGATTTTGGAGAACATGCAATTAACTGAATTGTCTTCAAGCTGGAATATCGGAAAGTGACAAGGATATCACATTTCACAATGGGAACCCACATTATTGAAATGATCCTCACAGCAGTAGAGGTCATGTCCTGAAATAAATTCCAGATGCACTGCCAGTTTTTCCTGCGTTGGGTACTAGCCGGGACGGTCGAAAACAGTTTTTCAGGCGAATTCTCACTACTATTTTGACAAATCGGTATAAAATATACGACTACCATCATAGGTTAGGTTATACGCAATCTTCTTCTCCAATTTTAGTCATTACCAAAATATTCATCTCACATATTTTGATAAATGACAATCAGAAATTATTTTGCACTTGTCTAAGAGAGAGAGAATGGATATGTATGTCGAATCTTATATGAATTGTTCACCGGCTGCCTACGTCACGCGCTTTTCCGCGTTTTTCATGTTACGAAATACACGATGTATTTCAATAATTATTTGAAAAATGTACAGAGCTCTGGAAAAAACGGTTTGCGACAGTGAACAAGTTAGGGTTAGTACTTCAAACTATTGAAATAAAATTGTTCACTGAGACAGGACCATTCTGATAGCTCATTCCATTGATTGAAACGTCAGTACATTCTCGTTATTCCACCTCCTCGACATAAAGACCTACAGGGTGATATCTGAAAGTTAGATAATTCTCGAAAAGTTTGGGATCACCCCGTTTCACCGGGATGTTTTTTATATCTCAATGAGGGCGTTGAAATGAAGGACAATGAGTTCTCTCGAATTGGTTCTGAATTCAAGAGGATTCATACAGGATGTTTCGATGTATGGAATTTTTCACATTATACATTGCAATTTTCGGCTAGTTTGAGATCGCCCCGTCTCGCAAGGATTTTCATTATGTTGCATTGAGAGCGATGATATGAAGCATAATGAGTTTTCTCGGAATGCTTTTCGATTCAGAAAGATCCATACAAGAAGTTGTGATATATGGAATTTCTCACAATATATTGCATTCTGATGTTCAATCAACATAAACTCAACTTCAACAGAACTTCCTCATCCTGCTCAACGCTATCACTATACAATTTATTGTACATTTTCAAACATACCGGGTATCATCGAATTCTTCCGACAAACCATGGTTCCCAGATTTCCAGAGGTATGAAATTCGAATTTGGCAGGGGTGTAGAATTCGAGATTTGATCAATTATTCGAAATGCCATACTCTCTTATCACTTCTTGGTTTGACCATAAACGATCCCATCTTTCAATTTCAAAATGGAACATTCTGTATTTCATGCCATATATGGTTAGGGGGTATCATAACGAATTCAACAATACTGGGTTTGAGAGAGTTATTTCGAACGATTACGAAGATATCCTCGTTAGAAATTTCCATATGCTGAATAAGACGTGTGACAGGAAAAATGTTTTTTTTAGGCAATATCATGTTGTCTTCAAACTCCAGTGACAATTCTTGCACGATGTGGTAGTTCATCATCATTATCATCAACCAGTATGAAATTGTCACCAGAAGTATTGGGCAACTGGAACGACAACTTCCCTAACACAATGATTATTGTCTTATTTTTACCAAAGAGTATTCATCACCTCTCTCAAGATAGCCAACGTGGGGCAACGATTCATCATCATTTTTTCATCATAAATATGGTGTTAATAATAATTATTAATGGTATTTTTTTCGTAATATTTCAATTCATTTTTACATCCCCTATATTCAAAAATGTTCAACACATTGTGTAATAATGGTGTTGAAGATATGCCAATGTAAAATTCTGTTGAAGTTGAGTTTATGGTGGTTGAAACATATCAGTGTGCAATATGATGTGAAACATTCCATTCATCCAAACATCCTGTATGCATCCTCTTGAATTCGCACCCATTTGAAGAAAACTCATTGTTCGTCATTTTATCGCCCTCAATAAAGCATTGAAAAAATTCCCGGTGAAACGGGGTGATCCCAAACTTTTCGAAAATTATCACATTTTCAGATATCACCCAGTAGGTCTTCATGTCGAAGAGGTGGAATAACAAAAAAGTACTGACGTTATACTAAATCTATCAGAATGTTGAAAGGAATTGGAAATTGGTTGATCCACTCCAGAGTTATGACGGTTCGAAGATGATAGAAGTTTTTGCTTGTCTCACTCCAAATGTGGAGCAGTTTAGTTCAAACTTTGATAGGTTCAGTGCATATGTTCATATAAACTTTCCTTTTATTTTCAGCCATCACATAAAATACAACCTCACAAGATATTTCTGATTAGAATAATTGAGTATTATACATATACGCATCATTTTCCAGATCGACAAATGCGAACCTTTGACTAAAACGATAATGAAAAAGAAATTCATCCCTAAGAAGACCTCCTGTGACTCAGACCACCTTTGCACACAAACCGAGTTTTACCCCACGAGAGCGATAAACAAAATGATCTCATCGAAGAAGAACAAGAACAAATTCGCCCATCTCAGAGGAAACGTGATTGAACCCACGAATGACGTCATTTCGGTGAATGCCAGAAGTCCCGAAGACTTCGCCGACAAAAATATGTGCCAGACTAGGAGGACTTCAAAGATTCCGATGGTAGCTTTCGATACCAAGAAACGACAAAAGTTCATTGTGAATACGAAGAGTTATCAGCAGATTGTGATTTACGAAACATGCAAGTGAGTACATCAATATTTGTTGCTTACCCTAACAACACAAGTACAGGGTTCGCCGCTTGAAATTGAACCGACTCTCAACTTCTTTGTTTTGGAAGATATATGAAAATTATTGAAGGAAAAGTTGTGAAGGATCCCAGATAGCACAAATACCTTCTGGGGCCCTTCTGAAGCGTTCACAATAATGTCCTCAGGACGTCGAGGGCGAGCCTGACGACGTCCCTAGCCCGTCCTCCTGTTACCGTTCTCTACATCCTAATAACGTCTTAGAACATCTCTATAAGGTCTTTTGAGACATGTAGAGGACGTTATGGGAACATCTTCAGGTAGTATTCAAAAATGTCTAGAGATATAGGTTGATAAAAATGAAATTTTATTGAAAAAATATGGATATCATTATATTTGCGAAATTTCCCTGGAATAATAATATGTTCAAATGAAAAACTTACATTCTATTATTTATAACTTATTGTGAAGATTTTCGAGTTTCGTTTTGAGAAAATGTATCTCAGCTTCTTGTTGAGCACTGCTAAAAGTTATTGCCCATTGGTGATATTTCTCTATGTTGTTTTTGATTTCTCAACTCTGGATATGCTTCCTAATGCTGAATCTACTGGAAGTTGAAGCCTTATACAATATTTTATAGATGACATCAAGTTTGTGTTCCATAACCTTCTGAAACAAACAATGATTTGATATCTCATATCCATGTAATATCTATGATTTGATCCACCTACCTTTGTTTCTTTCTTCCTCAGAGAAAACTCATCATCAACATAATAATACATTATGATGATTTTTGTTATGTTCTAATTCTGTTGTAACTTCTCTTCTTCTTATCATTATTTGTTATTTTCTGAACCCTGGACATACTTTCTGATGCTCAATTTACTGAAAGTTCAAGCCTGCATACAACCTTTTATAGATTCCAAAGAAGCCAAAATATCTTTGATTTGAACATCTCTGCTCTGATGATAGCATCAAAAGTTTGTGTTCTCAATAACCTCCTGAAATAAATAATGTATTAATATATCATGTACAGTACCTACCTATACTATCAATGTTTTTATTTAGGTACCTACCTTCATTGAATATACTGAGAGTTCAAGCCTGCATACAATGTTCGATAGATTCCAAAGAAGCCAAAATATCTTGGAATGAAACATCTCTGCTCTGATGATATCATCAAGTTTGTGTTCTCAATAACCTCCTAAAATAAAATAATATATTCAATATTTCATGTCCAGTACCTACTATCAATGATTTGATTGATTAATTACCTGTATTTCTTATTATCCCATCAATTTCTTAGAGGAATATTATCATGGGACATAACCTCACTTCTAGTATTTCTAGTTCTTCTTCTTCTTCCCTTTGGCTTCGTCGACACGTTATTTCATAGAATGTCATCTGAAGACATCCGTAGGCACGAAATCCGCTGCAGCCTCAGGCTGTCACTGAAAGAACGTTTTTAGGACAAATACGGCGCTAAATCTACGCCTGATGATGTTCTAAGGTTGTAGGAAACATAACGTCCTCTCTAGGCGTTTGGCGACACATTGAGGATGACCCTATTGTGTGCTATCTGGGATTATTATTCCAAATTTTTTGGAATTTTTTCGGTCCTCGTTTCTATAAAATGAAAATATGGATATTATTTCAATTCACGTGTAGTAAGGACGAATCAGATGATTTGCTCCAAAATGTCACTGCGTTTGAAGAATTTTCCTATCAGAGAGCCTAATAGAAAAATTCACTACCTAGCTTGTCATTGACAATTTGTTTTGAGAAAAGTTTGGAGAAGAGAAATGGAGATGTCAATACATCAGTTTCTTTCTATATTCAAAACGTTCCGAGTGAACTGAGATAGGCAACAGTTTGAATCTAAGAAATTCACATTTTTGGTGGGAAAAATGCAACCGCTGCTTGTAGAGAATATGCGCTTCGGTTTGGAGACCGTCCACTTCCTTCTCGGGATAACTTCAAGGGGATATTCGAGAAGTTCAGACGAATTAGAGGATATTTGAGAGATCTGAAGAGGAGTCGACAGGAGAAGATCCTTGTAGAAGAAACAGGGAAAATTATGATTCTTTATTTTATTGGAGATCCAATAAGTGTCAGAAGAGTTTTCAGTAATAACCGTAGGAAGCCGTATACAGTATTGCCAGTGCATTATTTATTTTCACAAGATCACCCAAGTAACATGTTAAATGCCTAATAGCTTCGATGAGACTTTAAAGGGGTTATGTGAGCGCGAATGATAGGTCTAATTTGTTGTACCGTTTTATGAATGCCTTGGAGGAAGCAAATTGGCCTTCATGTCCATATAATCCAATTGAAAGGTTTTGAGATACTACGATAGAACTATCGCATAAAGCAATTCAGCATTCAGCTCACTTTGGTTTTTAGAGGGCTCTGTGAGAGTAATTGAAATTCTTTATCAGAACTATTTATTCCTAACAATTTTTTCAAAACACTTAAATTTCATCAGTGTCTCGAATTTGACCAAGAGGTTCCGAACTAATCCTATGAAAATACTTCATTAAGCAAACATGAAACCAAATTCACGCTAGGCCAATTAGGATTTGACTGAGGCAATAATGAAACCAAATGGCAATATTCTAGCTATGTGAAAGTAATTATTAAAACCTATAAGCCACAATGAATTCATCGAAGACAATCATAAAATGTATAGGATTTATCAAGTTTCTTTCAGAACTGTGTTAAACCCAAATCCCATGATATAAATCTTCGTATTTTTTTGCCTACAACGGCTCACGTTGAAATGAACACACAAGAAAATAAATGGTGTAAAATTGAGAGAAATGGCAACTTCAAGCGAAAAATGAAGGGAATTACTTGAGAATCAAAAATCAAGTCGTGAGAGCAACAGTTAATCACAATTCACAAGCCCAAGCAATTCCAAACACTTCCTCTTTCAATTCATCCCAACTGAAACCACCAAATAGTACTATCAACGAGTCAGAACGTAGGTAATGGAATATAGACAACAGTTTTGCACAAATTATATCAAATAGCGAGTAATGCAAGAATTTGAAAGAATGGAGCATTCAACACAATATCAGGCGAACTGCACTGAGTATAGTTTGTCTATGTTTTCTACTCAGTTTCCTACTCAAAACAAATCACAAAATACACAAACTGAACACTGTTAATAACAAAAGTGGAGTTATGTTGATCATGTTGATGACGTTCTTCTACTTCTTGCCACACTGCCCAATGAGCACTAGCCTGGATTTTTCTAAAGCTTCATAGTTTCATGGAGGCACCCTGTAGGATTCGAGGTACTTTGTTCTGGGACACCTTGTGTTCTGTGGAATTTTTCATTCATTTCTAAGATGAAAATCACCGTGTAATTGAATGAATAGGTATGTTGTCCCAGTAACAATTATTTTTTCTACAACTGTTATGGAAAGTAGCGCATATTTCATAGCTTACTTAGTTTCAAAACCATGTATTGCTCATACTGTGAGAAATATTTTTTTTTCCTCCGATTGGCAGCAAATATTAATTTTGCTGACACATATCAATCAGCAAAGTATTACTTTTCTTGCCTAGACAGCAAAGTGGGTACTTTGCTGATTGATATGTATCAGGAAAATTAATAATCCATAAATCGTTTATAATTTCCTTCATATTCCATCCGACACTTCTCTGGCAACAAATTCAACCCTATATTTTTTGCCACCTCCCTTATCTCTGGAGGTTAAAGTACTTCCAGGTCGCTATCACTGTCCATTATATAATAATTTGAATATACCGATATTTTTTCGCACAACTGTCAGAAATTTCATGAATTGTCAAACTATAATTATTATGGATATTTCCATAGCAACCAACCATTCCAACAACTGCGATTTCTATCAAATTTCATTTTAATCGAACACTACAGGAAAAATAAAGAGATATATATGATTATAAACAATCTGAGAAAAAATTATATGTTCAACTCGGCAGCAAAGTAGATTGACTGCCTTAGCAGAATTCCTAGCCTCGCTACGCTCGGCTATGAATTCAGCCTCGGCAGTCAATCTACTACTTTGCTGCCTAGTTAAACAAATAACTATTCTCACTCGTGAGAAAAGTTGAACTCTCCCCACTTGTTGCACAATATACTATTGTTTCGGTGTGGCACAGTGAGTCTACATTGTGCAGCATTCTAGTGAAACTTTGAATTTCATTTCCAGGGAACCAGAGGGACCATGTTATGGAAATGACAGCTTGCCCTACGACATCCAGACATTCTGCAAACAGGCTTACAGTATTGTACGATTGGTATCAGTCAGTCATACAGGCCAATTAGAATATGGCTATTTCCCCGTACCTAGCAACTGTGTATGTTCGTATAAAACAACCAATATCCTCGATCATACCTAGTTCCGAGAAATATGACTTTGGTTGCTATCAAGATATACTCGGATACTGATATACATAAAGACATCGATATTGGTTTTGAAAAGACAGATTCATCAGGAACATGCTTAATAGAATATAGTTCATAATCCTTTTGCAGTATTTCGAATATGTTCATGAGTATTTTTGTCGTTTTTTAATGTGAGGTTTCAATATCGAGAATATAGGTTATATTACGAAAATTCATGTACAGAAAAGTTCAGGAAATGACTGCTTGTGATTTTTCATACTAATAATTATTTGTCTCAACTTGTAATTTATAACAACATATCATTTTTTCTTGAAGATATATTCTTGATATTCTGATAAGTATAGCAAATAGCCTACACTAGCATAAGTTCAGTTGTCAGAAGCAAACCTAATGAAAAGTCGACTTGACTGTTGAAAAATATTCTCTGTATCAAAATCTCAGGTGAAACTGTGGAGGAAGAGGAGAAACGAGTGAAAATCACTTAAAGAAGGAAGTTTGCGGTGACCTGATTTCAGAACTATTTATACCAAAATGGAGGTCGGTTCGTTGAACGTATTTCTTCAGCAAAAATATCCACTTGTTCTTCATATCGAGAACAGAGAACCAAAAAAAAAGTTCTATTTTGCTCAGAAGTTATTTGAATTGACCGTCATAGCTAAAATTGCTTTGATTTTGGTCTCAAAAAGTGTCAATATCAAAAGTCATGATTATTTCAATTCCTGCTCTCTAATTAGCACATGACAGTGACAGATCCCGTTTGATTTGTAACATTCTTGAAATAAATAATAATCACAATCATGATTCCAATCCTCTTTCAAAACTTTGAAAATTTCTCATAGCGGAAGTGATTTTCGGTATCTCAAGTATATTTTGGTCACGTTTGGGTAAATAATGATTATTTCATTTTTTCTTGGTTGCATTAGGCATCTGTACCAACTGGTGTATATATCATTACCATTTCCATAGGTATACTCAGGCAAAATATATTTATACAGCGTTTCTTACTCTAAACGCCCTATACCCCAGCTATCAGTCGTGCGATTCTCACCAAATTTTGACATGGACATGAATAATCATAAATATGATAATTATGTTTTTCAGAGTCAAACTTCATTATGGACAATCTCGTGCAATTTTATTGGGTCTGTTTTTCATAAACTCATATAAGGAAATGTTTTGAAGGAAAACTATCCTCATATTTTTGTTATGAAAATCACTTCATTCCGAATTAACAGGAATGGCTTCATTTCTAAAATCAAACACAAAATTTTGCTTTCAAAAGGTCCAGTAGGTAGAAACATAGAAAATAAGCTATACTTGTTTTAGTTGAAAGCGCTAATTCAGTTCGAAGAATGCTTTTGAGATGCCTGTTGTTCTGAAACCTTTCATGCAAATATTACAGGGTGGAGACTTCAACTAGAACCAACTCGCTACTGGGGGAGTAAATGATTTTTCTGAAAATTCGCTAGACACCTCAACATCAGAATGTATTCACCTACATTTGACGAACAATATGGATTATATCATCTGTCAAGGAGAACTGGAATCAACCCCAACTTGTCTTTTTCTATAATGTGACCCTATGGCTTGCGACCTCTCATTGAAAAGCTGGTTGCATGAAGAGGTATTCAGCGTATTGATCATATTTCAAATTGCAGTACGTTTGGTGGTTTCAAATATTTTCAACGTATTTTCATCAGAATTTCGACTTTAGGTGACAGTGATATAGGGCTTTTCAACCAGTTGGCAATAACACTTCGTTTCGACTTGTGAATTCGGCAAAAAATCTGAATATATTCTTGCGGCCCTATTGAAACACTGGAATAAATACACTGGCAAATAGCAGTTGTGGCAAAAAGTCATCACCAATATTCAACACACATTTTGAGCGAATGTTACGTTGAAAAAAAATTTAATTTTGAAATGACATTTCATTTTTGTGCAACCTTCAAACGTATGGAAAACTGAAATTTAACTAGTACGCTGGATTCCTCTTTCCACCAGCTTTCTGATGAGGGGTCACGAGCCATAGTGTAATATTCTCGATATCGCTTGCAGGAGGAAGGTGAATACAATGAATCGTTGACGTATGTCGGGAATTTTCAGAAAACATTTTCACCTCCCTGCTTAAAAAATCATTCCAGTTGAGGTCTGGAATTGGTGAGAATCGCGCACGACTATCAGCTGAGATATACAGGGTGTTTCACAGGTGAAGGGAAATATTTCAATGGTAGATAGAGGTCACCAAGGTGGTTCTGAAAATACCATATTTGATAGGTCTTAGAGTCTTCATAAGGGAGATACAGGGCGATTTATCGATTTCGAATAATTATTCATTCGTCAATAAGTATTGACCTACCCAGTATATTTTTCTGAAATACGGTATGGATCTTAAACTTGGGTCGTTGAATAAAATCACCTATCGGTCGAAGTGAAAATCCAGGTTCGGCATCAGGAAAAATTTACATTCATTCGAAATATTAAAATAACACCCTGTATGTAATAATTGATAGATTTCATCAAAGGAATCGTGAAGAGGAGGAAAAACTGAACTGGATTTGATGCTTTTTGTTTTCCCTTCACCAATTCTCATCGTAACAATCATAAACAGAAAGCGAAAGTATGTCAATTTGAAGAGTATTAAAATTATGAAACCACTTTCAATTATGATTATCTGATATATTCTTGTTGAATGATCGTTCGAAAGAACTCACTTAGTCTCACAGTGTATATAACAGAGATACAGGGTGAATGATCGGTTTCGAATAAGTATTATCACTCGTCCATAAGTTAGTATTGAACTACCCAGTAACATTTTCTCGAATTTGGTATGTAGCTTACTTGGGACGATGTATTCATTAACCTATCAGGCGGAATGGAAATAATACCAAATAATTATAATTCGATAGTTCACCCTGTATCTCTGTTATAAAGACTATGAGACTTTTCCTGAAGCTGAAGCTGAAGCTGTATTCCCATACTGCCTGATAGGTCAATGAATCCATCGTCCCAAGTAAGCTCAATACCAAATTTGAGAAAATATTACTGCGATGGGTAGTTTAATACTTATGGACGAGTGAATAATTATTCGAAACCGATAATTCACCCTGTATCTCTGTTATAATCACTGTGAGACTTAGTGAGTTCTTTCGAACGATCATTTAACAAGAATATATCAGATAATCATAATTGGAAGTGGTTTCATAATTTTAATACTCTTGAAATTGACATACTTTTAGCTCCCTGTTTATGATTGTTACGAAGAGAGTTGGTGGCGGGAAAACAAAAAGTATCAAATCCAGTTCAGTTTTTTCTCCTCTTCACGATTCCTTTGATGAACTCTGTCAATTATTACATACAGTGTGTTATTTTAATATTCCGAATAAATGTACATTTTTCCTGAAGCCGAACCTGGATTTTCACTTCGTCCGATAGGTGAATGAATTCAACGTCCCAAGTATAAGCGCCAAACCAAATTTTATGAAAATATACTGGGTAGCTCAATACTTATAGACGAATGAACAATTATTCGAAATCGATAAATCGCCCTGTATCTCCGATGAAGACTCTATAAGACCTATCAAATATGGTATATTCAGAAACACCTTGGTGACCCCTATGTACTATTGAAATATTTCCCTTTACCTGTGAAACACCCTGTAGAGGGGAAGCGTTCAACTTGAGATACGGTGTAAGTTTAAACAGGATATTTCACGACGAGCTTACACAATCTTAATATCGAGAATCAGTCGGAAGAAAGTCATGAAAATGTGCGTGCTTATATTTAAGAATACGCTCTTTCATTCAAAATTTTTTCGATAATGCAGTATTGCCGCGTCTACTAGAAAGTAGTAGCAAACATTGATATTTCAAATGGAACACCTAGTATTTTATCGCCTTTTCAGATTCTCCCTGAAGAGCTGATTTCATCGACGTATCACACTTGGGGTCTATCGAAAATGATAACTGAGATATAGGGTGTTCAAAATCGAGATTTTTCCTTTACTATTCTTTATTGTGTCGAAACTATTCATTATTGGTGAGAACGACTGAAATGTCCCTATTTCAACTGCCGATTCACTATTTACTGATATTTAATAGGAACAGATACAGGGTGGTTCAAGATTCAGAATTCTGATCACCCTGTATCTGTTCCGATTAAATATCAGTGAATAGTAAATCAAAAGTTGAGATAGGGACATGTGAGTCGTTTTAGCCGATAATGAGTAGTTTCGTTACAAACAAATTATCAAGTTGAAAAATCTCGATTTTGAAGACCATATATCTCTGTAATCATTTTCGATAGACCCCAAGTGTGATAAATCAATGAAATCAGCCCTTCAGGAAGAATCTGAAAATGCAATAAAATACCGCTTATTCTATTTGAAATAACAAAGTTGTTGCTTTTTTTATAGAAGCGGCAACACTGCATTGCTGAAAATAATTTAAATGAAGAGAGCGTATTCTAAACTATAAACATGCTTATATTCATGGATTTCTTCCGACTGATTCTCGATATAGTGATAATGTGAGCTCGTCGTGACATACCCTGTATAGAAATAAGTTATGCGACCCATGAGTAATTCAATTTTGAAATCGGCCTATACTTCGAATCACAAATTTCAGCTTGCTGATGAGTTTAGTAAGTTATACAGAGAAGTTTACAAAAACCGCCAGGATTGTAACTTTCGAATTATTCTAAATAGGGTTTCGAAAATTGGTGAGCAGCTAGTAGGTATACCAAGTTGCTCAATTGATTGACAAATCTGTTTTTGTTCTATCACTTCCGATTTCACAGGAAACGACCCCAACTCACAAATGGGACACCCTGTATTATATTCCATAATCAGTTGAGGAGCAACTGAGCAAAACGGTTCAAACCCATGATATATGATTTCGAGTAAAAAATTAAAAACTGCTTGAATCAGATATAATCAAAAACAGATCTTCATTCGGTCACAAATCAAAATGAATAACAATCTCGGAAAGGTTGGATGGTGATATTCTCCAAACTCAACAGTATATATATCCATTAATTCAACTTTTTTTGTTGGATTTATGCCAGTTTGCTCAATCAATGTGTGGATTCATAGCATTTTGCTCAAATATCAATGGACTTATTCCGTTTCGCTCTATCAGTTTTTGGATTTATTGCATTCTGCTCAGACAAAAAAAAATTCTCAATATTTCTTCAATCAAGATGGCCATCTCTAGATGATTTACTCAACTGAACGAGAATATTTACAGATAACTTCCTTGAGAACGAAATCATTCACAGAAAACTTTCCTGTGGATTCATTTCAGTGACAACCAGCCGATGGATTTATGCCAGTTAACATTATGGATTGTGTATTGACCAAAATGTTCTACTTCAGTAATATTCACGTGAAAAATGTTAAAATTGGAATTATCGCATTTTGCTCAGTTGCTCCTCAGGTAGGGATTGTCATAACGAATTCATCGATACCGGGTTTGATATAGGGTTATTTCAAACGATTACGCAACTGATCACGTTCTAAGTTTTCATGAGTGTTACAGAGAAAGACGTTTTGACATTGTGAAGTCACACCCATTGAGCATATTATGTAAACATCGAACGCGAATATCTTTTTTATTGTTTGAAATAACTCTATCTAACCCTGTATCGTTGAATTTGTCATGATAATCCCTAACCGACTATGGAATACAATACAGGGTGCCTTTTTTTGTAATCAAAAGTTGGGGTCGTTTCCAGTGAAACTGGAAGTGATAGAAGAAAAATTAATTCATCAATCAATGAGCAATTTGCTATTCTCGCAACCCACCAATTTTCAAAACCCTATCTCGAATAATTCGAAAGTTACAGACCTGGCCGTTTTTTGTGCACTCTTCTCTGTACTTCTCTGTATATGTATACGGCGTGACTGGTTTCTCTGGGTTTCATATTTCCATTGAATGTTGTTTATTGAAAATACATTTTTTTCGGTACATGTGTTACATTTTTTTCTCAATCAGCATTCGACGGAACAATAAAAATTCTTTCGTATTACAAATGTCAATGTACATGCTCTCAAGTCATCAAATTCAAGGACAATGTCAGTAACCATACAGCAAATTTCACATCCGGAATCTCAAGAACAAAGCAAGTTGAGACAAATGTTACAGGGAATAACACACTTTTGTGCTCTCATTAACTCACAACCTGTGTCATCCAAAGGATATTCCATTGTGAACTTTTTGATGATATTTCAAAATATCATGCACGGAATATTGTAACATATACCTTCAAGCGAATTTTGTTGAGGAATTGAAATTGTTCAGGAAGTTTCGAAATATGTTATATCCTCATTATATGATATTGATAGAAAATTATTATAATCGAATGGGTTTGTTCGTATTTATTTATTTATTTATTATTCAAGTATTTATTTTTTGTATTTTTGTATATGAGAATTGAATTATATTTTCTATAACTGCTAACAGACTTGTTTTTGACTTCACGAAAATCAAACGAAGAGTTGTTGCTATTCATTGAATGTCATTCATGAACAGCAATTGGCTCTTGAGCAGACAAGTTGAAAAACAACCCCTTGAAAAGAGCAGAAGTTACTGTGAATTTGCTCTTATTGGAGAAGTTAGGAAAGTCATATAGGATTCACAAATTCAGTTGAGCATTTAAATAATTCAATCTTTTTTACTTTCCAAGGTTGAATTAAAAAATGTTATGATATGAAATGAGTATATAAATCTCAGTATACAGGGGTGAGTCATTGAAATGCGAAAGTGAGATAACTGCTTCTCTGTTTGAGAGAGATGAATAAAACATTTTGAGATGGTCTAGACTCATGAGCAGCAAATTTCTGGATCACTTTGCGTATACAGGGTGACTCAAATATGCGAGGCGTATCGAAGTTATGATATTCATTACCTATAGGACACCCTCTGTATTTTATTATTGCATTCTCAGATTCTCCTTTGTTGTGGTTTGATTACAACGGCTCTCATGTTCCTATCCTAACTGTTGATTCACTATCTACTGATATTTAATTTGGACGAATACAGGGTTATAGTTCAAAATTCAGAATTATGAACCACCTTGTATTCGTTCAAATTGAATATCAGTAGATGGTGAATCGAAAGTTAGGATAGGGACATGTGAGCCGTTTTGACCAATAATGCATACAGTGCTAGTCAAAAGTCCCCTCCCCCCCTCGTATCTTTTGAACGTGTAACGATTATTCCGTTCCATTGAGATGTTTTCAATCAATCAACCATTTAATTATCTGACGTCCATTCGTTCTTCTATCTACTTCCGCTTATCAGCGGCCCTTCACCGGTTCAATAACCATATCGAATTCCCGCTAGACAGTGACACAGAAGATCGAAGAAGGGAGACTAAATAACCAATCAGGAGAAGGAATTGATATGAGAGGATCTTTCGCGAAGAACGAATAGGAAAATCAAACTTCTTCTGATATTAGCTACCGACTTGAAAGGTTGAAGTGATAGGTTGTGGGAATTGAAGATATCTGGTAGGTCTGGATTTATCTATATTTTTCGAGTGAAATAACTTGTCATCGCAGACATTTGGTTTGTTAGAGTTGATTATTGTATATTGAATTAAACATTAATTGATATATTTTTGATAGAATTTCATTTTTGTGAGAGATAATTGCATTCGAGTAAATTGAGGTTACAATTGATATCTGATGGTTTCTTAGTTAATAATTGGTCATCGGTATCAATTTATTGGATATTTGAGTTCTTTCTATATTTTATTAGCACTTATTGATGATATTTTCGTAAAATTGACAAATTTATATGTGATATACAATTCTTTTTCAGCTTAATGGTTAAGTGAAACCTGGATTCATCTGCCTTGTCGCTTGAATTTGCTTTTTATAAACGTGTTGCTATCAACAGCTTGTTGCTAATTTTTTCCTCATTCAATAACTTGAAAACAGTATCTACTCTTCAAAAATTTTTCTTGGTACTTTTTAGAAAATTCGAAAAGCCATCGCACTTTCCTCAGATTTTCATCCAGGAAACCTGAACTGAAGTTTCCTCCGTGTCTCGTCCAGGAATCTTGAACCTACAGGACCTAGAGCCTCGAAGTTGAACTTTGACGTTCAGGCTGTACTTCTCCAGGATTCTTTCTCAGGTGAGCATTTAATTTCTGTTATTATCTTGAGAATTTATTTCCAAGTTATCTTTCTTTCTCTCTGAGAAATAAATGCAACCTGAGGAAGGTTTCCTTCTCTCTATAGCCTGTTCAGTCAACATTTGTCTGGTTCCTGTATAGGTTTTGCCTTCTTGTGACGAAAGCACAATCTATAGTTCAAGTTTTCTGGAAGTGAGATTTTTCTTTATATCTTACTGTCAGTATCTTCTTGGTCAACTCAACAAACCACATGTCAATGCATGTCTATTTCCTTATCTCAAGATATACCAGATCTTAATCCCGGACCTGTCAACTTCACACCTGAAGTACTTACCTATTTTCTGGCATTTAACTTTTGAACCAGGACTTGCTACCCTGTATATATATATCTTTATACATACCTTTTTCTTTTACTTTCACGGAAAAGTAGATTACCTGTTAACTTCAAACTTGAAAGAGTACCTATTATCAGGCATTTTACTTTTGAACAGGACTTGCCACCCTGTATATAGATATTACAAATTTTTTTTTTCACTTGAAGGTAGTTTCCTCGGCATTTTAGTTGAAGGATTTGCCACCTTCATTTAATATTCAAATTTCTTGATTGAATTGCAGTATCTATTATTTATCAAAGTTGAATTTGGTTTTTTTCATTAGATGAATGATAATTCTTCCTTGAATTTTTTTGTAATAATATATCAATACCAGGATATCTCATTATTCTGATTCATTCAAATAATTTCTCTCTGATTTGAATAACAAATTCATAATTTGCTTCTCAGTTATTTCCATTTCTAATTTGAGTAAATTTTCTCTAATTCTCAAGTGTCAAGTTTTTATTTGAATCGAATTCATTATACATACCTTCTCACCTTTTCTAAGTTGTCAAAATTTTATAATTATCCCTTTCCAAAATTCACATTCAAAACATAAAACTTAGTGAGCGGTTCAAAGGAAATTGTCAAGAAGTATAAATGCCTAGGAAGTAACACCACTCAAACTCTCGTTCGTTTCAAGATCTTCTATCATTAATTAACTTTTCCAAATTAAAACATTCAGTACATTGCAGTTCGATCAGGCCAGCGGAGTTCATAGACATCATTTCCTTTATAATTTGCAAAGAAATCGCTTACCGCGGCGATAATACCTAGGTAAGCGGTATCGAAAAGCTATCGACCGTTCCCCGTGTGGAAAATAGCGAACCTAGCATCGATTCCGAATATAAATAGTACCCGAATCGATGAGGCATTCATTCATTATTCAGTATTCATTATTCATGATTCATTATTCATAATTCATTATTGACACAAGTCATTCTAGTGAAAATCAAAATGTTCGCCGTCCTCCCAACTTCAAGCCTGCTGGTCAACCCCCTGCTAGACGTAATAATGTAAGTGCTGTTTTTTTCCAATGTTGTTTTGCGTTGATCTTTTTTTTCCCTTTTTGTTAACCTGCCATGTGGCAGCATCTATTCATAAAACTTTTCATTCAGTTAATAAATGTTATTTTTCTATGAAAACTGTCCGGTCTCTTTATTTGGGGGTGAATAGGGTTGGATGGTGAAATGATCAAAATCCTCTCATTAAGCCAAGCGAGTAGCCAAGTTGCGATCCGTAGGAGGTCGAACACCTGAGTTGCGACACGTGGTGGAGGCGCCTTGCTCCTTCCTACAGATTAACTCTCCATAGTTAATCTATTAAGTTCGTTCTGATTTGTGATCAATTTTCGTTATTCCAGTCAATTTTGTGTTTTATGAAGCTATTACAGCCATCCAACCACGATTCATTTCAAAATATGAAGTTTTCGTAAATTCAATGATCTATTTCAATAATCACTTTCATTACTTGCTTTCAATTCACTTTCAACTCAACTTTTTTCCTATTAGCAGACCATAGATTCTCTTGAATTTTTTGAATAACTGATTTTCTTTTTTTATCCATTGATGCGTAACTTGAAAAGGCAAAATTATAATGATATAATTCATACAACCATGCACCATTGTTTTTAAAAATTCTGGGATATTTTGCTATTATGGTATAATAAATGATTTAGAAAAATATTCTCTGGTGATAATTTGTGTATTTTATTTCATTTTACGGGGTATGATTCTACGAAGTTTCTGGGAAACATTAAATATTTTAATTTTGGTTTTAGATAAGTAAGTTATATGAAGAAATTTTTCTTATTAAGTGGGGTATTCGAGAAACTCATTCGATTTTCATGCAGAGATACAGAGCGTTTAGTTTCAGCTATTCATTTATTAGTATAGGTGATATATCATATATGATTTTTTCAAATATCATATCATTTTACGTTAAGAATTTTTTTTCAACCAAAATGGAGCACAACCCAATGTTTTTCTATCGTTTTTATTGGTATATATATTTCAAGTTGTTTGCGCACTAGCAACCCTTATTAACAGAGCATCCAGGTGTACCTAATTATTCAGATTTTTTTACTTTTTTCAAAGATACAGGGCGTCCTTGACAATATTCAGTAATGAACATGCATAAATTCAACTTTTTATTTTCAATTTTTACATTTTATTTTATCTATTTTCTCTCACCACGTCACAATTCTTGAGTTATGAATGATTATGCCCAATACCTGTCTTACTTCAGCTTGGAAATATATCATTGATATTGTCTAATCGTGAAGAATACCTGTATCGCCAGTACCAGCTTCTGAGCGATTACCAATAACATATTTTGAGAATTGTGTACAATTTGAGCCACCCTGAATCAAACCTACTGATTTGTTAATGGTACATACATTCCAATACCTGTCTCGTCAGTATCAGCTTGGGGTTGTGTATCATAAATAAGTCAATGACTACCTAATTGGAGGATAACTGTCCACTTTCAGCTCACTCTGATTTGTAATCATACAGTTAGCACGATACTCAGTCATAGATTTTCTATTTACTTTCCCTAAAATTTCTTTAAATGGCTCGTTATAATCCAAGTCGTCGATAATATTAATTGACTAAGACAAGAAAAATAAAACTAGACTTGGAAGATACCAAAAAATCGCGTTCATTTCAAACTTTTAAAACTAACTATACATTCTACGCCACTGACAAATGCCAGTACGCCCTGTAAACCCCACAGTTCAACTAACCCGTGAAGAAATAGCACAGCAAAAATTGAGAAGATTATTTCGTGAATTTTGTAGATAAAAATAGGTACATTTGGAAAAACATGTTGATAAATATCTGACAAACGTGTAGGCTCAGTAATTTTTATTTATAACTTTTGATTTTTGATTTTCAGAATTCGGATTCAATTCCGAACAATTTTTTGCAATCACTCATGATC